ATAGAGATAGAGAGACAGAGATAGAGAGAGATAGACAGATAGAGAGAGAGATAGACAGAGAGAGATAGAGAGAGAGAGAGAAAGAGAGAGATAGAGAGAGAGAAAGAGAGAGATATAGAGAGAGAGATAGAGATATAGTGAGATAGAGAGAAAGAGAGAGAGGGGGAGAGAGACAGAGACAGAGACAGAGAGAGAGATAGAGAGAGAGGGAGAGAGAGAGAGAGATAGAGAGATAGAGAAATAGAAATGAAGAGAGATAGAGAGAAAGAGAGAGATAGAGAAAAAGAGAGAGATAGAGAGAAATAGCGATATAGAGAGAGATAGGGAGAGAGAGAGATATATAAAGGTAGAGATGGAGAGTTGAAAAATAAAGCTTATCTAAACAACTATGTTGGAAGTCTAAAAAGAAGAACCTTTTAAAATAGATGTAATGATGTGATTATGAATCTTAACAAGATAGCACAAGAACCAGAATGGGATAACAAGACAAAGGAATTGGAGAGAGGAAATAAACTGCAGTCAGATAGATACAGTAGTGTGAGAGGGGTATATAGAGAGAGAGAGTGAGAGAGAGAGAGAGAGGTGGGGAGGGGGATGGGAGTAACATGGCCCCATGATATACTCTTTACATACATGAAGTACACGTACGTGATATGACTAAGTTCACTGAGAGGTCTGTATGAGATAATATCAATGGTTCGCGTAGAAGCTTTCAATTAGGCAATGATTTTGCAAATGAGTGGCAAATATTTCTATCTCTTCTCAAAGGGTTCAAAGTGACATAACCTCAAAGCTGGTGTAACTCAGGCCATAAAGAGCATTCATGTTCATTTATCTGAGCAAGATTTAATTTCTTTGTACTGTTTTGTCATTCTCGAGGATCATTAGTCTTGTTCAGACGGAGAAAAGTTGCCCAGTTGTACGGATATTGGCATGCTTGACCCGCCATATACGCCGCCATATTTACCCTGTCTAGCTCTTAACACGACATTTACTCTAGGGTAACTTTTCTCCATCTGTACCAGACTATACACGTGCTGTGTTTCTATGATCGATGCACACAGGATACTTCTGTGTCAGCAACACAAAGGTAATGGAATGTCATATTTCAGAGCAAGAATAAATGCTTTGTCACTCAGTTCACGGTTGAACTCAAGTGAGCATCTCATTTTTCGTTCCTTTGAAGTTTCTTTGGCGGTTTTGCCATTCATACATTTGATACGACGGGCTGGTATTATAACGACAAATAACAGGGACTTTTAGATTCGCACGAACACAATGGGGATTGCTACGATCGACGTCCTTTTAATGCACTTCCTTGAATGGACGTCACACGTATCAGTCCACGCAAATCTAAAAGTCCCTAACAACGCGTTTAGGCACACCTTTTGTTACATCGAGCAGGTATTAAAAAAAAACAAGGCCGTCTGGAATTCTAGACAATAGGTTTGCCAGGTTTAATATTGACATTATAGCGCTATTCACCACAGACGAGACGGCGAGACGCTCAATCAACCAGAACTTAATTTACACAGTGTTTAATTGGAGGTTATACCATTGCAAGTAGTTTGTTTTTCAAATGAAAGAAACATTTAAAGATTAACTTGAGTCCTGGTTAAAAAAGAAAATGAATTATCACAGAATCAAGTGAAACTTAAGAATGTTCAAGATTATAAATAAATATATCATGTGCCAAACAATTTTGGAAGAAAATGTATTCTGGCTGAGTAATGAGCAAAGAAAGATAAGGAAATCAAGGTATAGTAGCCCCGACACCATTTGTGTAGTCCCATATACATCTTTATGTGTACAAAATAATGTATGCAATTCGGATTCTGTCTATTGAAATATTATTATTCTTATCAGGTGAATGGCAAAATTTGTATTGAAGCACTTCACAAAGACTTATGATACAATTTGGTTACATTACGAAAATGGCGGAAGGTAAAGACGAGGGTAACCGAGCAAAATAATCAATCTTCGCATGTGCGGACCAGAAATGTCTCCGTTGTGTTGATTTTCACGACCGTTCTCAGCCATAATAGCGTTCGTTCCCTAAACTCGACGGAGGAGTTGTATCGCCGTACAATAGACCATTTTCGTAATGTAACCAAATTTAATGCATAAGTCTTTGTGAAGTGCCTTAATTCAAATTATTTCATTCACCTGATAAGAATAATAGTATTTCAATAGACAGAATTCGAACTGCATAAATTATTTGATCTCGGTTGAGTGAATTCTCCCGTCCTCTTTGCCTTCCGTCTCGTTACTAAATCGCCCTGATGTTATTAAGGGTACGCGTATGCGTGGTCCCAGCACCGCCCCCTCCCTTTTCAGCATAAGTCCGGTATGTAAAGTCAATACGGGTAGATCGTTTTCTTTGTTACGAGCCGGATATTTTGGAAACACGCATGCGGTCCCTCCGTTATCGGATTGTTGGGGGTGGGGGTAGGTTTAAGGGTGTCGGGGGATTCGGTTCGGAGGCAGCCTGAGAGTCTTCTTTGGGAGATTCATTCCTGTCTCCAATGCAAAACATTTACAAAGACAGGGTACACAAGTTTACCATTTCCCAAATTAATAGGTTATGTGAGTGACCACATGTCAAATAGACAGCGAAGACAGTTTTGAAGTAAAGATACATGTGAATGTTTGTGTTGGGGTGGGGTGAAGTTTAATAGGAAAATACTACTCAGATTACAAAGAAGAAAAAGAAAAAAGAATAAACATAATATTACTTTAATAGGGCTACGTGGAACTAAACTTTCTATTTATGGAAATTAGCCGCTTTCTAAGCGCTGTACAGATAGGCTTATTATTAATAATGATAATACTGATAATGATGATGATGATAATACAAAAAATACTAAATATAAATGCTACCACTAATACTACTGATGATAATGAGAAGACATTATGAGCGAGAAAGGGAGAGTGAATATAAGGGAGTTTAAAGTGGAAAAAACAAGATGAAAGTGAGAAAAAAAATATAATAAAGCAAACCTTTTACACAACATCACCCACTTATAATAATCAGAGTCATCTTTAACAAAAAAAAGCTTTTGTTGTTCATATTTTATCCTGAATGCGTATTTGTTCACAATATTAAAAATGTTAAGAAATTACTCACATTATCATGACCAGGAGTATCATTATACAGACGTAGATGGCAGTAGTGCGGTTGGAGGCGACTCATTGATTCGGGAAGTTACTACCCAGGTCGGAATTCCAGTTGGAAACCAGTACGCAACTGGTACCACTTCAAACCATTAGTCAACTGGTACCTTTTGAAACCAGTACATTCAACTGGTTTTTAATATGGAAATTGAAAAAAAAAACGCTAACTAGGACCAGATGATTTACAAGTTGATTTACCAGTTGATTTACCAGTTGAATTACCAGTTAATTTACCAGTTGATTTACCAGTTGATTTACCAGTTGATTAACCAGTTGATTTACCAGTTGATTTACCAGTTAAATTTCCAGTTAATTTACCAGTTGATTTACCAATTGATTTACCAGTTGATTTACCAGTTGATTTACCAGTTGATTTACTAGTTGATTAACCAGTTGATTTACCAATTGATTTACCATTTGATTTAGCAGTTGATCTACCAATAGATTTACCAATTGATATACCAGTTGATTTACCAGTTGATTTACCATTTGATTTACCATTTGATTTTCCATTTGATTTACCAATTGATTTACCAATTGATTTACCAGTTTATATACCAGTTGATTTACCAGTTGATTTACCAGTTGATTTACCATTTGAATTACCAGTTGATTTACCAGTAGATTTACCAGTTGATTTACCAGTTGATTAACCAGTTGATTTACCAGTTGAATTTCCAGTTGATTTACCAGTTGATTTACCAATTGATTTACTAGTTGAATTGCCAGTTAATTATCGATCCAGCAATCAATCAATACTCATCATTAGCATCTGGCCACCAACTTGACCTTGAACAAAGTAGATTACAGATGTGTATTATATAAAGTAGACAATTATAGCTCGTGCATACCATACAAATGTATACATTTTGTTTCCTGGTAATTAATTACATATATCAATATATCTAATTTAACGTCTTTTAGTTTACACTGTTGCTCATAAAGTTGGAATAGGCCTATTTTTTGTTTACCCCAATGTATGGAATTATTTTGACAATGATTTATTCTTAATAGTAGTTACATATATCAATATATCTAATGTTACGTCTTCATTTACACTGTTGCTCAAAAAGTTGGAATAGGCCTATTTTTTGTTTACCCCAATGTATGGAATTATTTTGACAATGATTTATTCCTAATAGATCTAGATAATAGTATACATTCTCAGATTTTATTGAATAATAATTTGCCAGTGTTTGTTTTGCGTGACTGCTAAAGCATGTGTATGCTACTACGCTTATATGTAATTACTAAACAGGAAACAAGGGTGACACCTTTAACATATCTAACAACGTTAAGCTACATGGCTAAAGGGAAAGTGCAGAAATAACCCAAAAAAACTCACTCAAAAGTACCCAAAGTTGATTTACCTCCTTTTGGAATGAAACTCGTCATATGCACACGCCCAAATTAAAGTGAATATGAATCAAATTAATGATGAGGAAATTTGACTTCGATTTGCCTAGTGAGCAAAGCAAATTGTAAATTTGTTAAATTTTTAGAACAAGCAAAGTGTTATATCTTTGCTTTCATTTTTCAGTGCAGTTATTTTTTTGTTGGGCGGAGGGGCTCATATTTTTTTTATTTGTATTTATTCATTCACTCATTTATTGATTTATTCATGTTTTTGCTTCTGGAAATTGTTATCATTGTCCATTATTTGTATGTTGCACTTATTTCCCCCTTCGGTATATTAGACGACCCTATTTGCTGATTATTTTTCTGTTCTCTCTCTGTCTGTCTCGGAAAATGGCATGTGTACTATTTGCTTTATTCCACAAAGGACTCATTTTTATTTTAAAAAAACACAACCAACAAAGAGTATATAGATTGTTTGTACAATTTAATAAATTCTCTTAGATCAAGACATTTTATTTACAAAAATTAGCTACTACCGAAATAATATTTACGTGCTAAATAACTACAGAAGAAACATATATAATTACACGCTATAACATAATAATGTGCACATTAAACAATAAAGACGATCTTGTATGATTATTGATATTGGAATTTCTGTTTCTAAGAATGATCAAAGAACAACTGTTAAACTGGGATTGTATCCTTACTGTTTTTCCATTTCCATGCAACTCATGCGGCATGTAATTAAGTCAGTGGAATAAACTAAATTCATCAAATAAAGTTTGGAATCTCAAGTTTGATTAATTATATCTCACTTTCATAACCATAACCATCGTACCGTTAAAGGGAGTGTATCATAGGAAATACTGATTAACGCCATCTACGTGTTCTTTTGGACAACTACACGTAAACGAATGGACTTGATTAACTGGGTCAGCGCGCGCTAGCGTTCGCGAAACGGACCGAAGTTCTACTCACGCTTCGGTTTCGCGTGTGTTGACACATAGTCCCATCATGATACACTCCCTTTAAGTATTATTAAAAAGTTTCGTTATTCTTGCTTGAATTGTTATGATTTGTAATCATGGAATGTGCTTTACATCAATATAAGGGGCGAGGTTAAAAGTAAAACATAGCAGAATGCACTAATATTGTTTGGCTGTGCATTATTCTTTCTTTGACGAGTGTACGGCTGCTCTGTAGTGCACGATACAACAATATCAATAATATATTGCACAACATTTTTTGAATTAATATGTTTTTACCCTTTATTCAATATCTTATTTGTTTTGCATGACTTTGCCCCTAAGAAAGATCTTACCATTTCAGCCAACGTGTTTTGCTTCTACTCTTCGTGACGTCATTATTATTTCTGACTACCCCCTTAATATGATATACTGCTGATTCCTTGGCTGGAGAATCCTATCAAATATGGTGTCATTATTATAAATATAATAAGCATAGTTTATAATAATCCCAAACAAAGTGATGATCATCTTATGACAAGAGAAATATCATTAATTTAACTAGAGTCGCTTAACTTTTTGGAGGGGGACTATTTACATTTAAAAGAAAGGTGCATCAACTCTTACGTGAGTTTGATCATAACATGATCGCTAAAAGTGCCCTACTGTATGTACAACATATATATTTCATTTCACATGCAATAATATTCAACGAAATTTACCAATGTTATATTTCATGCTTTCTGTACATTATATTCAAATAACTGAAAGGATTCATATTCATTTACATACGATTATATGTAATATAGTGCACAATATATTTTTGACCAATGAAATTCTCTCCAGTGATTGGTCAACATAGCATCATGTGACCAAACATAAAATTGCTATGATGTAACCGTGACGTCATCCATGGTATAGTGTAAAATACCATGGCACTATACCATGGATGACGTCATATATATGTGATCGATCAAGATCATATGTAATGTATTGCACAATATTTTGGAATTAATACGTTCTTACTCTTTATTTAAAATATTATGTTTTTGAATGACTTTGCCCCCGTGAAAGTCTTTACCATTTCCGCTAATGCTTTGCCTCTACTCTTTATGACGTCATTATAACGAGTGTGAGGTCCGAACGCACGGTCAACATGAAAATGATAGTCAGACCAATATTCTGATTTGAGATCACGTATGATAGGCCTACGAGGTTGTTTTTATGTTCCCCCTCGATTCTCTGTATTTCCAAATAATTCTTTCAAGTTTTCATGCGAATATCGCAGTTATGTCTGTCCAATAATAGCCTTAGAATTGTGTTAACAGAACATTCAGACTTGCTTTCTAATTAGAGTTATCTACATCGGAACGTCAACCGGAGTAGTTTGCGTGAGAGAAGTTTGCGTTCTATTAAAGGTTAACTTATATGTCAGATTTATGTTTGTGTATACAAATATAAAGAGAGATTATGTAAATTTATTGTAACCAGACAAACTTTAATAATATTTAAGGTGAGAAGTAGCTGCAAATGTGGCCAAACATTCACTCCAAAGTGGGTAGTCTCATATACACATTTATATGTCCATGTCGGCGAGCATAAATTAATTTATAATCATTTTTGTTATTCTTAAACATCACATTTATATACCAATACATTTTTCCTGATTAGTTTCATTTCTTTAACAATATTATTATCTTTTGACCAGAACTCTACTAAATCTTTATCATGTTGTGTGTTGTTTTTTTCTTATGAGCGATAGCATGAGATACATCATACAAAATGGAGGAAATATTTATTTTTAAACTCAATTTCATATTACAAGCTTGGAAGGAAAAGGAAATGCTGAAATAACCTCGTAACTATACGTTCAGCAGTTTTCGTATCTACAACTAATTTCCAAGTCATCGGCATAGACACGATAGCCCGAATCCACAAAGAAGTTTAAAATTTGTAAACTGTAATGAAATCTGTAATATACAACAAATATACAAGGCACTTCTTAGTGATTAAAATGTAATGTCAGTGCGCCCATCCCTGGCCGTTGAGGTCGCTCTATGATATCGGTAACCAGAGCCATTGACTAGAACAGTTTGGCCAACCCGTAATGATTCGGGCACAATAAGGCGGATACTGTACTGTGGGACAATCACAAAACAGAAGAATAGACGCCATGTTGTATCCAACTTAAACTTATTTGGCCAAACCCTCTGTATAGACCGCCATACTGTGGAGTGGTGGTGAAGTGACGTCTCGAGGAGCCATAAACTCTTGTCTGTGACCGGAAGAAAGAAAACATCGAAGAGCGCCCTCCACGTTCAGAAAGCTGACAATCTTCAAGATCTAAGCTGCATGAGAAAACAGATGGGAGAATAAAAAGAAGAGGAGGAAGAAGAAGAAGAAGTTAGAGGGAGATGGTTAATTTGTAAGCTTTCACGATTTCTTTTATTCAATCTTTCTTGCAAATTATAATATGTTGCATTTTAAAATATATTTAAAATGTTCGTTAAAGTAATTACCCTTGAACTTATAAATCAGGTCGTTTTTGATAATGTAAACATAAACTCTGCTTTATGTATTAGGTATCACGCTAGCCAAAATGCACTAGAGCCTTATAGTTAACAATATAGTGATAAGTTGTGGTTGATTTCAGTTTGTTATTAAAATAATGATCAAATATTAATCTTAAACGAGTTTCATTTTTAACATTGGAGCATGTGGAATAGTGTTAACTCTTTAAAGTATAATGATAACCCGAAGAAAATAAACAAAATGTGTATCGCTGCAATGTATAGAATCAACCTCAATGGACTTGGTCAGTTATTAGGGTCTTCCTTCCGAATTAATTTGTCGTTTCATCGTTTATGTCCTCTTTTACATTTGGTAAATAAAATCAACTAATGAATCAATCAGTGTATTTAACTCCAAGCTTGCCATAAGGCTGCACACAAGCTACCGTTATAGTGCTTTGTACATACGAGAGAGCCATTGCTTCAGTGCCTTATGCATGCTTGTACGCATTCGTATTACCAGTTATTGTTCATGCTCATTGAACTGTGCTGTGTGTTTTGCACGCGCTATTCATAGAACCATCGCGTTAATCAGATTATCTCAAAATAAACTTGGCACGCAGGGATTAGGGGCTTGGCACAATGGGGATTAGCCCTGTGGCATGATAAGAATTACGTTCTTACGATGTGTCGATTATGGTAGGTTGTTATGATAGTAAGCTCTGTTGACTTTCCCCCGTCGTCTAGCGTGCTCGTGATCTACGGGTCCGCCGTGGTGTAGGTCGTACCCAGGTCCGAGCCTACGGGAACCTTCTGATCCAGGCCGCCTGCCGTGAGGGGGACCACCAGGGAGAGGTCCCGGTGGAGCAGGGGGTCTCTCGTGTAGGCGAGTCCGTGGACCATCAGGGCCGGGAGGTTCCAGCGCGTCGTGCCCGAAGGGAGGTTCTAAACCGTCATTACCAAAGGGGCGTTCCATGATAGGAGGGTGACCGTGAGGGAAGTGAGGTGGTGGTGGTGGTGGGCGCATCGGCTCGAAACCACGTGACCCGTGGTGAAACTCAGGCATGTGACGATCCATGTGGCCACCGAAGCGAGATGGCCTGTGGAAGTCTGGCGGATAGAGGGCGTCATTCCCATACTAAAAGAAAAATAGTGGTTCGGTAAAATAAAAAGCGTTATTTATGCTATGGAATATCGGTTAAAATGAATATCTAAAGAATGCATATGAATATCACATCTAAGAGATGCTGGTTAGGGGCAATTGTTTGCTATCCTTTACCAGTAGCGGTTCAAGGGGGGGGGGGGGGGGGGGGGGGGGGGGCTTGGAGACTGACCCTCCCCCCCCCCCCCCCCCCCCCTCCCCTCCCACAAAAAGAGATTCGTATTTAATTTAAGAGCGACACATGCTGAAAACAAATACAGAACCCCAACCCGAATATAACAAATATAACAAAAGAAAATAAATAAATAAATAACAAATTATAATCTTCTGATACTACCTCTGTCGTTTAAATTGTGAAATGTATAACGACGGTTCTTGTTCTTACTAAGATACTAACTTTCTTCTTACTAAGTCTTAATTTAAGTGAACTGTCATTGGCTTATGATGCAGTTTTCTGCTTTCATTTTGTGAAAATATATATCATATAATCGACTTGTTATCAGTAAAGTCTTTTCCTTTGTATGATCACCATATTATTTAATATGCACTTGAAAGTAAACAAATAGACAATCGACCTAGAGGAGAGCCAAGTATGACTTGTTTTTCCTTTACATGATATCGATTATCATTATTCTTTAAAAAAAAGGGTATTGACTTACTGGGTGGCCTACTGCTGTGATGATCAAAGTAGGATCTGTCTGGTTATTAATATGAATGTAGAGACCGATACCAGCACCGATTAGGCAGCCTAGACCAATCAGAAGTAAAAACAGAGCGCATGCGCATCTCTGTAATGTGCAGACTTCGGTGCTTGCTGTTACGAGTTGTTGGTCATCATCAAAACTCGATTTATACGCCACCTATTGGTAAGTAGAAGAAAAAAGCACAGTGTATTCGATGAGCTCGTGTTCGTAATTTTGGTTCACAATAAAAGATATTGACTAGTTGTTTATGCATTTTGGAAATATTAAACGATTGAAAGTTTGGAAATCAAAATGCATGATTAATAACCAACAGGGCAATTGATTAGGAAAGTTTGGTCGACTAGGTTCGAGTTTAGCATAATGATAATGACAGAATTGGCCGGTGGGCAAGCACAAAACAATCTAGCATACGCCATGATGTAGCCAACTGAAACCAAAAAGGCCAAACTCTGTGTATTGATGACTCGGATCTTTAATTGCAAATGCCGCCATCTTCGGTGGTAAACTATACATTGCAAAGAAATTGGGACCGAAATTGAACCAAATGCAACATCTTATTCAGGACTCTTTATGGTACTTGGTACTTTGTAGGATTCCTCCAAAAGACGCCGTAAAGGTGTTTAAACTGGAGGTGTGTCGTCGTGTGCGGCCACCAACTTAAGGCGCTGGTTTTAAGTTGGTTTCAAGAGCAGATTTCAAAGTATTTAAGGAATGTTGGGCTACAATTGAGGGAGAAAGACTGTTCCAGTCCTTAACTGTCAAAGAAAGGTTATTCTTTTTATGATGATAGAAATTGATAGGGGCTTAACACAAAGCTTAGTTTATAAGAAAGGTTCGTGGGGGTAAAGTCAACATCTCGATCATTGCAAATCGAACAGTAACAACATACACACAAACAAACAAGCAAACAAACTAACAAACAAACAAATAAATAACATCAAATGACCAGGAATGTATTGTCACCGTAGTATGCATCGCACAACCTCATCTATATTAATCCTGAAGAGTTTAATTCCAAAAGGAGCTAGATCCATTTTGTAACTTCGGCGAAAAAAGAAGTTGTATACCAGATTGTGTACAGACGTCTATGGAAAAGTGATATTGGAAGGTGAATTTTTTCATAATTGCTCCCAAAATATAGGTAAATGATGTTTTTCAAAGACGGGTACTAAAGTTAACAATGTTTCGATATCAATACTAAATTTTCATCAAAAGTGGATATAGCTCCTTTGAGAAATAAGCTCTTCGTTTATTGGGCAGTCTAACGTTTTAGAAGAGTGTATTGTATTGAAGCAGAAAAACTGTAAAGTTTGAAATAAATCAGAGCAATAATAAGTGAGTTAAGAGTTTACTTTTTATATTGAACATCAGAAACTGGTGAGTCGAGGTCTCAAAACAAATCACATTGTAAAGTCTAAGTCTATGCGATATTTGCCTGGCAAGAAAAGATACATATACTTTTCTTTTGGCAACCTTTGTAAAGAAAACTAATCGAAGACGTCAGTAGAGATAATTCTAAACGGATGAACAAAGGACAAACTTGGTTTCCTGCTAATCGTCTTCTTTCCTGAATACATCAACACCCTTCCCCTTTACTCCTGCGCAAATCCATCAGGCCAAAAGAGTAAGAGGTGTCATGCCGCGAGAGGGCGGGCGACAGGCTGACATTGTCTACTCTTTGTATAACGGAGTTTACAGATAGCACAAGGTACAAATGACCCCAAATATCCACAGATCTTTTACACATGGAGAAGTTTCACTTTGAGCATCTTAGAATAATAACTGCCAAAGTCCTAGATATGCTTCATGAATACCTTTTTTTTTGCCCTCTTGAAAATAATACTTCTACCTGAGTATCTTAGAATGTACCGTTGGTGCATAAATGAATATTGTCACATAACTTTCATGAGCGCATATCTAGTATTCATCTCTGTGGGTTTTACCTTTTTTTGTACAAATGACCTTTATCTGCTCATGCTCAGACTGCAACCGTAAACTGGCTTATTATGACCATGTTCTTCTATCTTTTTCGTGTAAAGCATTGTCTTGTCCCTTTCTCGTCTCTGTTGACATCCCCCTATTTTCTTTCCCCTATTTTGTAGTTCCTTTTGTAGTTACGGATTAGTTAATTTAATTACTCATTATTCCAAAGTACCATTTGAGGTGTTCACATTTGTACAAGCACTATTTTTTAGTGGACCCCTTTTTTTTCAACATATATTTCTTACATTTGTTTTAAATGCTTATAATTGATTTGTAATGTTTTGTTGGAAACATGAATAAATTGAAATTGAAATTGAAAGCAGAGCCATTAATACATAGAGTTTGACCAACTTGCTTTCAAGTAGTCCAAACATTGTGTATTTTCTGAATTTCTTTTCTTTTATGCTTGCCTTCAAATCAGTAGTCGCCATATTGTGCCAAACCCTAACCGGGTCGGCCAAACTCTCAAAACCAATTACTCTGAGACAAATGAAATTGGTTTATAGTAGCAGAAAGAGAGAATGAAAGTAACGGCTCATCGTACAGAAGTCTTTTATAATGAGAAGATGCCTAGCCAAGTAAATGTCTATTTCTTTAAGCCAAACCTCAAGATTTAACCATCATTGCGGGGAACTTATTCTGTTATACAAAGGTTTCGTAGCTCAGTAAACTCGTACTTCAAAATGAACAATTTTCCAGATATCAAGATCGTGTTATTTCGCTTATAAACAATTTCAGATGATCAGTTTAAACAATAGCTCAATGATTTTCCTTTAGTTTTTCCGATTGTCTCTCTGAGTTCACTCAATTTAATTATTTCCAATCTCTTTGTGCATAAACCTGTTTTGCCTCTTTTAAACAAATACGATCGAATCATTTTGTGACGTTCCTTTGGAAGGTGAGCGACCAGATCAAAGTTTCGGTATACTTCCAAGAGTTGCCCTTTGATGTCTTGTAAGGATTTGTTTGCATGTATATGTATTTGTTTCCACAATATACAAGGCCGGGGGGAGTTTCACAAAGACTAACATCAACTTTAAATGGGACTTAACTATGGCAAGCCGTTCATCCACGGTTTTCTATCACCATCAAGGGATGTACATATCATGGTCGACAAGCTACATAATTCACATATTTTGATAATTCATAATTGAAGGAAAATTGTTTATCTTAATATCATAATGGTGAGAGCAAACAGTGGCATGAATGGTCTGCCACAGTTAAGGACAACTTAAAGTCGACCTTGGCCTTTGTGAAACACTCCCCATGTCTACATAACACCGCTGAGTCACGCTATAGTTGCACTAGAGCCAATGACAAATAAAATGAGCTGTCGACCCTGAGCATCTTGACCCGCTTGACATCTTGAGAATATTGTCCTAGAAATTTCGCAGACAATGGGGGTCGATAGAATGTTTATGATTCAAGGCTGATCAGGAATGAGTAATATGCATAGAGTGTGGAACACAATGGAAACACCTGTAGAAAACATTCATCGAGAAAGATAAGAAAACATGAATCGTGCACAAACAATGCCAAAGTATAAGGACGGAACCAAGATTTGTAACAGGTTTGATCGTTTCAAGATCAGAAATTTCCTTAAAAGAATAGTCCCCTGTTTCTTAAAACTTTTTATCAATAACAAATTACGGTAACTGTTATAAGCTACTGAAATCGTGGCATTTGATTGGCTGTGAGCAAATTCGTTACAAAATGTAAGGATTTGTTATTGATGTTGATAACAAGTTTCATGAAACAGAGCCAAGGTTGATGAAGTTTGAAAAGAATTGAGTATTCAAAGACCAACTGTATGTTTAGATGTATGTACGTAGGTACTTGTTTCATTTTTTTTCCTGATGACTAGAAGAAAAAAACGTGATTATCGTCTTCAAAAAGTCGATGACTGAAGTTTACAGACTGCAAATGCGAGGATAGGGGCAAAAAGAGCTAACAGAGAAAGGGGGAGTGACGGACAAATTAACATGAGGACGAGATATAGACCACCATCTTCTTGAAGACTTCATTTCTGATAATTTGATAGATTGTATAGACTATTACGGTGATAGACTTAGGGGTAAAGAAAATTTAAACCAGAAAGAAATCATGAAAGAGAGAGAGAGAGAGAGAGAGAGAGAAAGTAGATGTATGGATAGGCGGTGAGGATCGAAAGAAGAGTGAAAGGAAATGATTACTGTGATGTACCGACAAAGGGTGGAACCGGTGCTCACCCCCCCCCCCCCCCCACCCCTCCCCCCTCCCTCACCATCCCCACCCTACTGCGGAGACCAAACGGCACACAGGTGCATGTCTGGACTATAACCTCCACCCTGTCACCAGCCCCATCCGCATACACGTACGCGCACACTCCTTATACACACGCTCACACACACACACACACTCACTCCCCTCCCCTGTCTATTACCAATGCCATTTCTCCCTTTCTTTAAAAAGGCTACTGTCCACGGATTTTACCCTTTTAATATAGTGATATGATATATTTATAATATCCCTTATTATACAAGAAATACAATACACGTTACACGAAACCTTGAATAATTCAATGACCGCTCGCCTACCATGCCTCGTTCGGTGTTTTTCGGTTTACTTTTTTACGACCCATCGGCTAGCTACTGCAATAGATTTTGATCTGCTCGATGTTTTATGTAGACGAGTCAATACGTGGCTGCAATCAACGTAAGGGACTTGTAATGTATTAGTAATCCTTTTGAAATTATCCAACCTATTTCTGGAGGCTGAGAATAATCAGGAGACGTGTAACAATCTGCAGATCAAACATAGGCTGCGTTTATGCTTAAATTTTGAAGGCAGAATGAGCGATCTGAAACGCTAATCGTAAACGCTCATCGTGATCGCAGTTCCATGATGTACTGTTCATGCTTACTTCTCTGGCTTCCCCAGGCAATTCTCCGTGTGTGGCCTTAATTGGCCTTGCAGCTGGATTCACAAACCTTGACTGGGCATGCTACGTAGACCCACTAGAGGTCAGTGCGTTGACCCCATTTAAACGCGTTTACAAATTGTAAACGCATCTTTTTGTGAGTTTACGATCGGCGATCGTGATCGCCGTCGGTTTTTCGGTGATTCTACATAAGTGAGCATGGACGCAACCGTGTTTTAAACTAAACGCGTTACAGATGCCTGATTCTGGCCAGAAAAAGTGAAGCATAAACACGC